CGGGAGCTGTGGCTGTGCTGTGAAATGCTGGTCTGTCACCCTGCATTGGCACAGGGTGTATATAGGACGTAACGACTCCATCCATCCTACGGACGGTAGCCAGTGTGGGCGAGGAAGCAAGCTCAGAGCCCGTCTTCAATCTCCCTCCCCAAAGCACCTGCTAAAGAAACAAAACCTGCAGCTAGTGCAAACCACGCACTTCAGAGCTAATTTCTTTTACTGCTGGTTCTGTAACTCATTAAACTCATTTAATGCATCCCCCAAAACTGAAACAAGCCCAGCCTGTTGCTGCCAAGTCACAGGCTGGGTTTACATGTAGACGTTGAGTTTACCAAGCATTGCCGTTTCCTCTCTACTCCGAGAGTGCTCTCGAGTGATGGTCAGTTGTGTTCCATGAGTCGAGGCCAAATCCAGCTCCAAGGTTACAAACCAGCTGGCTTGGGAAAGCGCGGAGCTGTTAAGGATGCTGGCCTGGGGTGCAGCAGGTACTGAGCTCTGAACTTCTCTACTCTCTCCTTGGAGTGCCACCCCAGACCCGTGTTTCCCCAGCGGGACGTGGAATGATTTCACTGCCTGTTTTCCTCCCTTTGAGCTGCCTCAGCAGCAGGAGCTGTGGCTGTGCTGTGAAATGCTGGTCTGTCACCCTGCATTGGCACAGGGTGTATATAGGACGTAACGACTCCATCCATCCTACGGACGGTAGCCAGTGTGGGCGAGGAAGCAAGCTCAGAGCCCGTCTTCAATCTCCCTCCCCAAAGCACCTGCTAAAGAAACAAAACCTGCAGCTAGTGCAAACCACGCACTTCAGAGCTAATTTCTTTTACTGCTGGTTCTGTAACTCATTAAACTCATTTAATGCATCCCCCAAAACTGAAACAAGCCCAGCCTGTTGCTGCCAAGTCACAGGCTGGGTTTACATGTAGACGTTGAGTTTACCAAGCATTGCCGTTTCCTCTCTACTCCGAGAGTGCTCTCGAGTGATGGTCAGTTGTGTTCCATGAGTCGAGGCCAAATCCAGCTCCAAGGTTACAAACCAGCTGGCTTGGGAAAGCGCGGAGCTGTTAAGGATGCTGGCGTGCGGTGCATGCAGCAGGTACTGAGCTCTGAACTTCTCTCCTCTCTCCTTGGAGTGCCGAGAGAGTTTGTAAATTCATGCCAAGCCTGAGTGAGAGCTGTAGGGCTGTCGTTACCCGGATCGTTCTTTTTTTAAAGTACAAATAAAGAGAGCAACATTTCATCTGAACACCTGAATGCTGTATTATGTTTTTTTTATAGCCAGCCCCAGGGTGCCAGGCGCTATGGGCTGCTCTGCAAGGCTTTCTGTGCTCTGAAGCAAGAAGAAATAACCAACCTTGTGGAGAAGCACAAATGCGTTTTGGCTCGGGACAGAGGGGGGTGTTGGTTGAGCACTGCTCTCCTCCACTCTTACGTGCCAGTGTTGTGTGATGGCTGTCTGCAACAGCAACAGCAAACTGCCAGACCCCAATGAGATTCGTCCCTGTTGAAGCCAAGGGGAGCTGAACCAGAAAAAACACTGGGCAAAGGCAATGTTTGCTGAAAACCTTGCCACCAGCCTTGCTGGGACCTGGGGCAGGGGCTTGCTCAGGAGGAGCTTGCCACGGGTCAGCAAATGGCGCTGAGAGGGTGTTTTGCAAGTGTGTCTCTGCCTCTGCTTTTGAACTTCTTCCAGGGTTTGCAGCACTTAATGGCAGGAGACGATATTGCAGCAGGAGACCGGAGCAGTGATGCAGCGTTAGCAAATGGCTTTCGGCAAAGTTTCCATCGCAGGGAGCTGCGGAGCCGCATGCCAACACGGCCACCCTTGGTCTGCACGAACAGCAAGAGGTGCGGGGTTATCCTGCCAAATCACTTCTGTGAGTGAAAATACCTCCTCCTGAAAAAAATGTCATTTCAGTGCCAAAAATCCATAAACTTGTCAAAAAGGGTTTTTTTATGCCCCCTTCAGAGGAAATCCTGCTGACTGTCTGGTCCAGCTTTCCCTGAAACCTGGGGCCTTGATTCATCAAGTTGGTGGTAACCTGGGGTTGATGGCGCCTGTGTTGTCCCCCTGCTCTGCTGCAAAATAAAATCTCCCAGAGCAGCTCCTTCTGCGGGGGCAGCACAAGTCCTATTTATTGGGCACCTGGAGCCAAGCAAGATGTGATGTGGGCTTAGGAGGACCCAGAAGCTTTCCCTGTCTGCAGCATAGACCTGGGAGCCCACATGAGCGGCCTCAGGGCCAGAAGCTGATGAAATTACCGGGCGCAAACGAGAAGCAAGGGAGCGGGGCCTCTGCTGCCAGCCCTCGGCTCGAAAGTCCTTTTAGCAGCGAGCCGGCATCTGACTGCGAGCAATTTATCAGGAGTGAGTGGATACTGCTTATGACAGAGGGAGTCTTAACGTTGCATTACTTCATTTATTTAGCACCTCTCTTCTAATGCCCAGGGGAAGGATAATGGGAGTGTTGTGGGTTGCTGGGGGTTGGTTGTTATTTTTCTTCCCTGCTAAAAGCAAACATCTCCAGCTGGTTCTTGGCTCGGAGGAGAAATATTGGCTTTACAAAAAGAAGGGATGTCAAGTCATTAAAAGCTGCAGGAAGAGGAAGTCTTCTGAGATGGGAGTGGAAAGGGGGCCAGAGAACTGGAGCCAGAAAGCAGATGTAGGAAGTGCAGGAAGATCAGAGGCTGTTGCGCAGTGAATGTGCAGGTAGAAGGTAATTAGTGACCAAGTGCTGGTTGATTTGCTGCCACCAGTGTCTCACACTGGACACACACTTGGTGCCTTCTCTGCTGGGCTCTGGTCTTCATCAGCAGCAATTGCTTCTCGCTCCCAGCTCTGCAGCAGCTCCCGGCGAGGCGGCTCTCCTGACCAGCACAGCCAAAAGGACCCTCTGCTCTGCCTGGAAAGCGGATTAGCGCTGTGCTATCGGGGCCACGTGCCGCCATCAGCCGGCGCTGGCCTGCAGCCCGGCGCCTCGGAGCAGGGAGCTGGAGCCCAGGAGTCTCCATCCCACCCAGCACCCGGCTGGCACCACTCACCTTTGGCAGCGCTGAGCATCTCCAGGGGCATCAACCCACAGGAAAGCTGTCGGCCTTGGCTGTGAGCAGAGATGTGGCTTTGCAATTGAGCACTCGTTCCTTATGCCCCGTGGCGCGGTCGGGGGGGGCTCTTTGGAAGCCATCGGGAGTCGCAGGAGCTGGCTGGTGCCAGCAAACCCAGCATGGGAGTGCCAGGGAAAGTGGTGCCGGCTGTGCTTGCAGGCAGGGCCCAAGCCACCTTCCAGCCCTTCTCTCCGCTTTTCCTTCCAGGAGCCAGGCGTGATTATCACCAACATCGCTGCTCCCACTCCAGGGCTGCGGGGTCGCTCCTCTCCCTGAAGAAGAAAATATCGGGAGAGGCAGGTTGTAAAACATCCACCCAGTCAAGTTTTGGCTCTCAAATCCCTGCTGACTCCTGTGATTTATCATTCACCCAGCTGCTACTTGCAGCTTGGAAAAGATAAGCAAGGGGAGGAAAAATATGGGTTTTTTAAGAACTTGGCTTTAAAGCCCACAGACTCAGGCCAAGGCTCCTGTCCTGGCCAAAGGAATGGCCATATAACCAATAACCAACGCTACCAGTCATGGCTGAAATAAAACAGCCATCAGCTTCAGGCTGCAGTACAAGAAGGTGATTCTGCTGCCTTCCCTTTCCTGACATATATCTTTTGAACCATGATGCGAGAAAACCAGTATTTCGATACCAAAACCCCTGCTGCCTTCCTTGTCTTCCAATTTATTCCTCAGGCACCTTGTTTGTCACAAACTTTTGCCATTGCAGTTTCAGCAGAAGCAAACGTGCGCCAGGGGCATCACCAAGCCATCGTCTCTTCAGGCAGATGGGATGATGCCCGGGAGATTCATCTTCCCCTCCTTTCAAACCAGCTGCTTTGTAAACTCAGATCCAGATGACTCCCTTTCTGCATCCAAGGATTATTTTTTTT